GCCGGTGCCAGCCGCTCTCACGCGGTCCTATTTCCTAACGGTGATAAACAAGAACTTGATCTCGTTTCCTTTTGTCTTTGCACATTTCTGTTTCCAATAAAAATGTCAAATGAGATGGCTTTTCAGGAATGCTCAGAGAGGAGAACTAGCGTTATTCCTCATACTGAATTTAAACCTCACACCATTTCTGCAGGCCCGTGGTTAACTCTCTGATCGACCCTGCCTGTAAATCTAGTCTATTTCTGTACATACTTCCCAACAATCTCCACACATTTTCACTTCCCTGATCTCTTTAACACCTTGACTGCTACAATAACACCTCGAGTGCTGCCTAACTATCAATTCTAATGGAGATGTAAAGTATCAATGAATACTTGTGTTTTTATACGTCACTACTATCTATTACGCGTTCCAATAAATCAGTAGAATGAAGCACTAAGACATGCTGGAATCTAAACCTAAAATCCAAATGGAACTGCAGCGGATATATCACAAACAGCCGCACACACACCCCCGCCCCCAGAATTCAGACAGAAGCCCTTCAGTATGTAGCTTTTCCTGAACAAATTACATTAATAATGCATTTTCTTTTTTACATTTGTAACAATACAGTAAGTTTTTAATAACATTTATTTGCAAGACATTTGGCATAAGGTGGTTAGTAAACATTTAGGAAACGAAAGCTCTATCAAAAGGAACACAATTTATGGACGAATCCTAATCAAGTGGCTTCGGAAGAACTGGAGTTTGCGGCACCACCTCTAGAGAGGCCCATCTGTGGCTGGTGGGACATGCACAGGCACACCTGCCCGACGGGCTCAGCTGTCATCACAACATGGTGGGCGCCCACAGTATGGGGTCTGATCTGCGGGCAAACCCAGTACAACCTGGGAGCCCAACATGAAATACACTCCAGCCATTATGTTTCCACCTTCTCCTACCCTTGCACTAGGATGTATGTGTAATAGTATCAACTACTAATGTAGTTAAAATGTAGAAAACATGCTTACAGATACATAGGGAGGGGACCAGCAGTTAGTGTAATGGCTATGTCGCTGGACTCCCAAGTAGTCAACTGCAGTTCGAGTCCCCGACTCGATGACTTAAACTAATGCCAGGCACATGTGTGTGTGTGCCCAAGAGGAGAATGGAGAAGGGATTGTGCCGTGGCCATCCCCTCTAGGGGGTGATTTCTTTCTTTCTGTCTCTCTGGCGAGTGCACAAGCCCTCTAGCAAAAACCTCTCAAAAAAAAAAAAAAAAAAAAAAGATACATGGGGAAAGTCTATCCTTAGCTTTTGATTGTGCCGAAAGAAAGCCTCAGCTGGTAAGCTGAGCAAATGATGTCAGCAAGTAAGAGAGAGATACGTAGTGTTAATGGGGTGGAAACCCCAGCCTTTAACTAACTTAAATAATACTCTATTCTACAGTGCACAACGTAGAGCCGGGAGCTAAACCATTTGTAGAGGACACCTTCTTTTTTTTTTTTTTGGAGAGATTTTCACTGTAGGGCGCATGCGCTCGCCAGACAGACAGAGAGAGACATAGAGACAGAAAGCGAGAAATCACCCCCCAGGGGGGATGGTCACTCCACAGCCCTTCTCCTCCATTCTCCTCTCGGGATCTTGGGCACGCACGCACACGTGCCCGGCGTGAGTTTTAAGCCACCGGGTCCGGGACATGAACCGCAGTCGACTACGTGGGAGTCCAGCGACATAGCCATTACGCTAACTGCTGGTTCCCTAGAGGACACCTTCTTCAAGACACATACATACTTAGCCTCATTACGAAACCATGGACCAATACGAGTCTTTAGTTTCTAAAGGACTTTTAAAGGTGGTTTATATTAATTCTAATGCTCTTAATATATTTGGAAAGTAGAAAATTATTTTCTACTACAAATTGCAAAGAAATTCAAATAGATCTTAATTTAGTAGAAAGAACTGGTGCATCTCTCCCAAAGCAGCTAAACTGCAAAGTCTTAAGAACACTCTACAGATCTTACCTGTAAGAGTCGTATCATGAGAAACAAATGTCATTTTATTAAGACAAAAACTTGCTGTCCAATTTACTCTATCAGACTGACTATGTTGTTATAGTCAAAGGTCTTTACATGTAGACTCAAATACAATGTAAAACACTATATAATGAAGCAATTAAATACTGACTTTCAGTTTCTTGTAAGATCTCAAAGGCAGGGAAGAAGGAAATGGAAGAATTAGTGGGTTGTATACTTGGCCTGTGAAGGGGGTTTAGCTACAGCTTCTGATCACATTTCTGTTGGTTCTCCACACTGAGGCAGAGAAACCAAACTTCTCACTTCTTATAGGCTGCACATGCCGCCGAGTTCACGGAGGTACAGTAGCATACTCTAGAAGGAGAACGTGTCATCACTAATGGCAGGAGTTTGGGATCAGAACTTTAACAGGGCTGTTCCGACTCTTTCAGAAATACCAAATACAGTATTGTTTTAAGTGATCATTTGCATAGCAAACTAGTGAACTAGAAACTCAATGATTCTAGGAAAATTTCCAATTACAGAGAGTTCCAGAAAGATGTATTCCAAATGAAAATCTTTTCTTAGAAAACTGAAACCTGTCTTTGCTCATGCAGTAGTCAGCTAACGACTCGTCCTCATCCACTCACATGGTGCACCACCCTGAACAGCCTGCCCATACTTTCACTCAAAGGCTGGCCACTCACTGTGACTGTACTGGGTAATCCGGATGTGAGCAAGTCTGAGGGGTTTAAAGTGTGGGTCCCTGTATTAGAAAAGCATAGTTTACAGCACATTTAAAAACAAGTAGCAGTCAGTAATGTGGCCTTTTGAACAGAAGTCTTCAAATTGCAAACATATCTATTTCCACAAAACAATTTGGTCAGGAAATTTTATTTGAACATTCTAAAGCAATACTGCTTCAGATGCTACTTAAGTGTCCCAGACAGGATTAACAAAATTAAATGTTTCTAAATTACAAATTTAGCTCCTGTAGGAGTCTCAGAAAAGAAACAGAAGAAAACAACCCCCTCCCAGAAGAAGTATGACACACACATCTTGAAGAAACCCCAATGTTTCATGCAATGGTAGGCAAGATGTAAAAAGCCGTCCAAATTCACACATTTCTACACCGATCATCGTCAGAGTCAATCTGTACATCCAAATGCATTTGGGAATCTACACCTACGTTACATTATTTAATGTTATATACATTTATTACCCACCCCCCTTGGTTTTAATAATTTCTTATGTAAAGCCTTCATTCATACCCAAAAGATGTAAGACTAACTTGGGGGGAAAAAAAGATAGTCACTTTAGACATTCAGTTAAAATGTAGTTTATCTAAATCTCAAGATGTTTAATAAAAACAAGAATCTTCTCCATTTAACACTTCGCTTTCTAACTGTACAGTAAATTGCACTGCAGAAAGTACACCTCTATCTTCAGACCGCATCTTCTTTGGATGGAATTAAGATAGAGCTGGACAGTTTTAAGATAGATAATGGGAAGCTGGTCCAGCTACGACGACAGCAGATATATTACATGCAGGGTTTAATTTCTTTTTTTTAATTCTCTCTTTTAAAAAAAGGATGCAGTTGAATTGGAAAAAAAAAAAAACAAACCACAGGTCAAAAAAAGAATTCAGATTCAATATATAAAAATGTCCCACAATAGGTCGACGATGGCAGTAAAAATAAAAGAAAGTAATCTTTCTGGAACATCATTTTTCAATAACATAGAAACACTAAGTGCCAGGAAGATTCCTATTCGTGTAATTTTAGCATCCAAGTTTCCCTCTATGTATTTTATTGGAACAAATGCTTTAAATAAACTATTTGTCCTCTTCACTGAAGAGAGCTGGTCTATTTCATCTTTAATGAGCTAGTTTGGGGAAGATCAGCTATGTACTGTAGTAATGTCTACTGCATAAAATCCAAGCATTTGCTGTGAACAGTTGGAGAAAGCAGTCAGTAAGAACCTAGGATCAATGGAAATAGATGTTATTTTAAGTCATCCACAAAAGAGAGACCCACTAAGTACCCAGTGGTAAAGCCCAAATCTCTTCTTGCGCTTTGTTTTTTTCTTCTTTTCTGTGCAAGTTCCACCCCATGAAAGAGAAATTGATCCAAAGTTCCAGGTTTTCTTGGGTCTCTAGTCAATTTTCACATTAGTATAGATTTTTCGGACAAAGGCACTTGTTCCCATATAACCAATCGCTCCTGCAAAGACAAAACATGAGGTTATGAAACAAATACAGAGCTGTACCTGTCACTTGCAATTCTAAATGCTCTCTGCTCTAGAAAGTTCTTTTTTCAAGATAATGTCTTCATGTCAGTATACTTGCTGAACTTACTCAGACTGGCTGGTGGAAGGACACTATGTCTGAAGGCATGAATGAGAGAGATGAAGCAGGTCAGGGGTTTTGAAATGCCATTTTTGAATAATTAGCTTCCATTGGGGCTCAAAGTGCCAGAAGGCAAGAATATCTGTCTGTTTTGTTAAATGAAGTATCTACCTCTTGTGTCTAAAAGAGTGCCTGGCATCTCATAAGACATTCAGTAAGTAACCTGTTGAATGAATGAGCCAGACAGCTCTTTACTGCAAGCACTAAGGGCTTTTCGGTACAAGACGTTTGGTGATTCAGTTATTCAGCTGTCAGGGAAAATTCTCCTTGGACTTAGGATCTACCACCTTGCCCAATACTACTAAAAACTTAAAAGTAAATCTTCCACAAGCTAATAATGGTATACATACACACAAATGCCTAACTGGTCACCTATGAAACAACTGTGATTCACCCACCCGGTGAACCAAAGAAAAGGAACGAGCATCTCCCGTGCCTTTCCTCAACATGAACTGCACCCCAAAGCAGCAGGATGGGTGATGAAAGATTCATCTTAAAGAAGTAGCCTAACTGGGGGACCAGCAGTTAGCGTAATGGCTATGTCGCTGGACTCCCATGTAGTCGACCGTGGTTCGCGTCCCAAACACGGTGGCTTAAAACACGCCGGGCACGTGGGCGTGAGTGCCCCAGATCCCGAGAGGAGAATGGAGGAGAAGGGATTGCGGCGTGACCATCCCCCTGGGGGGTGATTTCTCGCCTTCTGTCTCTATGTCTCTCTCTCTCTGTCTGGCGAGCACACGCAACCTATAGCGAAAACCTCTCCAAAAAATAAATAAATAAAAAAAGTAGCCTAACTAATAAATATTAAAAAAAAATAGAATTTGGATATTATAAACAGTAGTGAATTACTTGAGCTGGCAATAATTATAAATGTCAGGGGCCCGTGGGTTGTGGTCAAGGCACTGGATTCCCACATGGCCAATTGCAGTTCAAGTCCCAGATCGGGTGGCTTACTTTCTCTCTTTTTCTGGTAAGCCCATGTGCGCTATAGCAAATTTAAAAATAATAATAAATAAAATTAAATTAACTCTTCTTAGGGAAAAGAGAGAGAATCCCTATAGATTAAGAGAGATTCTTACAAGACATTTTTAACTATGCCATGCTTGGGCCTCAATTGAATCTTTTTTTTTTAACTGCCCAAGAGTATATGTGCTCACCAAAGAGAGAGGGAGAGAGAGAAAGCACCCCCGTGGGACAGGGTCACAGCACAATCATCCTCCCTCCATCTCCCATCCCATCAGGGTCCTGGCCATGCACACACGTGCAATCAGTGTGCTCCCCAAGCTGCAGGGCTGGGACCCACACTGTGAGCGGCCACGTGGGGTCTGGACCCTTTACCATGAGCTGAACTATGGGACCAGCCCCTTAACTGGATCTTGATACAAACAAAATATATTAGAAGAAAAGAGGGGACAGGTGGTGTACATTCAGACACTGAGTATTTCATCCTATTATGGAACTATACTTACTCTTTAGGGGGAGAGATACTGAAATATAGTGGAAATGACCTAACACCTAAGATGAATGTCAGAGAGGTAAAATGGGCACATAAATGAAACAAGATTTGGGCCAGATGGTGGTGTGCAGTAAGACATGATACTATGAGGGGCAGACCTACATGAGAAGGTTGCTAGTTCAAGTCTAGCCACCTTCCAAACACACAAGTCCCATACCCAGGCTGGCTGAAGCTGGGGTAAACTGCAGCCTCAGGAACCTGTCGGGGGCTGCATCTCGATCTCGCACTCATGGACTATTAAATAAACAACATGAATAAAACAAAACTGGCCACGAGTTGGTAATTTCTGATGTTGAGTGCTGGGTACCTGGGAATTCACTATATATGTAATTGTTGCTTTTTGTATATATATTTGAAATTTCCCATTATTAAATATTAACAATTAAAAATCCTCCCACTAAAGTAACAAAGCAAATCTATTTCCAATTATTTTTGCAATGACTAGATATTTTTATAACATAAAATGGTATTATACTTTAAAATACCAGTTAATACATTTTAAAGTAGTTATATTACAATATAATTCTTTACAAGGTTTAAAAAAAGTATCTTTAAATTTTAAGAAATAAACCTGGATCTTAGAACATAAAAATATCTATAAAATTTTAATTGGTATCAAAACTTAATTGGTTTAACACTGATCCAATAACCAAATCCAATTTTCCAGATTTAAAGACATTGTTCCCCTTTGAATAGAGATGTACTTAAAATCAAAATAGAAACAGCATCAACCTAGAGAATCATTTTTCCTAATCTTATGAATACCTCAAGAATAAAGCTTTAAAAACATGACTTTATATAGAGGATGCTGAATATGCTCTCTACAAAGGTAAATACTTAAAAATAACCGAATGCATTTTTAAACCTAATGTCCTTTAAAAAAAAAAAAAGTGCAATGCTTACAATGTAAAGGCTACACAGTCTATTCCCTGCCTTAATATAGACGTTTCTTTATTCTACGTTTTAAAAAAATAAACAAGGGACCAGCAGTTAGCGTAATGGCTATGTCACTGGACTCCCACATAGTCAACCGCAGTTCGTGTCCTGGATCCGGTGGCTTAAAACTCACGCCGGGCGCATGTGCGTGAGTGCCCAAGATCCCGAGAGGAGAATGGAGGAGAAGGGATTGCGGCGTGACCATCCCCCCTGGGGGGTGATTTCTCGCTTTCTGTCTCTCTGTCTGTCTCTGTCTGTCTGGCAAGCGCACACGCCCTATAGCAAAAACCTCTCAAAAAAATAAAATAAAATAAAATAAATAAATAAAATACTTTTCTCTTAGTGAATTAATAAGCATTTTAGCAACATAGATTGATGAGTATGTATGAATTTTGTATCATGATGACATTTTAATCAGTTTCAGGCTGAACAATTTCTATCTCCCTCTCTCCCTCCAGCAAAACTGACTAGCACTGAGGGCTGTAAACACATTCAAGAATAAATGCTGGGATACTTCCGAAACAGCAGGGAACTGTAAACGTGCTGAGATTTTCAGGTAGCAAGATGGAATTTCGGCAGGAGGAGACACTTGGAAAATTTAGTTAGATTTATTCTATTCTCTTTGTAAAAGTCAAAGGTCTTTCTTACGTCATATATAGAAAAAATAAGTAAAAAAAAAATGTTAACCCTCTGAATGATCACGTAATTCTATACTTCATTGACTGCTGGTGATCATTAAGAAATAGCTCAGATAAAATAGAGAAGGATCCAGTGAGCAATATTTTAAAGACAGAATGGCCAAATACTAAGGAACTTTTGGGTTGCCCGAGAACAATAATGATGTTCCCACATGGCACATCTAATTTTACCCGTCAGTTCCTATTCGTCTTTTCTCCAGAGCTGGTGAACTTGTACGAGGGGAGTGGTTACCACAGCAGCTTCAACGACGGTAACAGAGAACTTTCTTCCCCATACCTGTGGAATGAGTTTCACACTCCCTTACAGTCACCTTCGCTGGTGTGTGCACACACCCATGACCACCTACGTGGTGTGGAAGAACAGACTCTTGACGGAAGTAGAAAGCGATCTTGGTACCCCAACTGTATCTGCAAAAGCCACTACTAGGACCTGGCTCTGAACAAGACCACAGGCTCCCTCCTCTACTACCGATCCTCTAGCTAAAGGTGGGACTAGCAAAAATAAATAAATAAATAAAATAAAGCCAATGCCAATAACAGAAAAAGGAGGAGAGTCTGAATCATCTACTCCCTGAATATGTTTCTAGGCTGATCAGTCCTTAAGCCTTACATCATTCCTATGAGGTAACTAAGAAACCACTCTTATTTATCAAATAAAACAATGAAGTGGGACCAGCAGGTGGCGTTGTAGTTAAGGCGCTGGACACTCACACATGGCTGACCAGGGTGCAAGTCCTGAATCTGGTGGCTCGCTTTCTCACTTCCTCTCTTTCTCACTCTCAACCTCTGTCTCTCTCTGGTTAAATTTTTAAAAAAATAAATGAATGAGTAAATGAAATAAAATAATTATTTAAATAAATAAATAAATAAATAAACAATGAAGCAGGAAAAAGGCTGAATTACTTGTACAAGTTTCCCTTATGGCACTTCTGCCTGGCCTTAGTGCCATGAGTTGCCCTGAAGTGGTATCATGGAGACTGCAGAGACAGAGACCCGATCCGGAGCAGAGGAAGCCCTGGGAGGGCAGCAGCAGGGAGCACCTGCCACCTAGTGCTTACCCATTCAATCACAGAATTCTCGCCCCAACCCTAGGAAGGGCTGTTCCTTCTGTTTTGCAAATGAGGAAAACTGAGGAAGCATAGCTAAAGAGGATCCCCACCCCCACCGGGGACTGACTGACCTGAAGTCCCAGCTCTGCCGTCCCTGCTACCAGCACTAGCGCTGCTGGTGCTTCAACACAAGGACTCTAGTCCTCTCAGCCCCGAAAGATGTGCCCATTTTACAGATGAGAAGGAGCCTTACAGAGGTGAGTGTGTCTTCCAGAGACACTTCCAGCTTCTCAAGTCCATGTACTTCCATCTATCATGCTGCTTCTGAAATTTCAATGTTTCACACATTCTAAAGACCATATTGTATGGTGGCACTACGACCTCTTCCTTTTTATGTAGGACTGTGGTATTAGCTCATTTAACAGAGGCCTGGGGAACTGGATCAAGCTACAGCGCATACAGGGGACAAAACCAGAACCAAAGCCCAGGCTGCAGGTGCCCAAGAACGACTCGGAACCAGGGAGCCCTGCTGTCTTCCGGACACCGGCACCTCCACGAGCAGCCTGAGACTTCCAGGAATCATGCAGGCGGCACCTTAACCTGCTGGCATCATGATCTTTTCCATGGAACCTAAGCTGGAAAATGCCAGTTCCTAACATACATGGGAGACTGACTGTGGTATGGAATACATTTTGTGCTAGAGAGAATTGTCAGAATTTCTGGGGGGGGGAGAAATTAACAAGGTAGTATGTAAGGTTTTGAGGAAGCGTCAAAAAGACTCAGATTGGACTTGGCGGTTTATTTTGGTGTTTCTGATAGAAAAACAGAATTTCATAATTTCCAGTTACTGTGTTTGTCTGATTCTGAGGCCACTCAAAAGATACACCCAGGGTATTTCAAGAATTTCAGACTTACCACACATTATCCCCAAGGCTGTGCTAAAGACCGCCATATATCCAAAGTAAAATGATGTCTGAAACAAGCCGTACATCCTGAAATAAAAGAAAATATAACTATATACGGTTCACCTATTTTACTTTCAATGTAAGACCTTAACTTTTAGTAACGGACAAATGAGGTTTCATAAATTGAAACGGTGAGAACGCATCTGTACTTACTTGGTTTTGAAAAAATAGTAGTAAAAGGAGTACATGTAAACATAGATGGCGGTCGACGCGGCCGAGAGGAAGCTCGTCCACTGCCTGGGGCGGGGCACAGACCAAAGGTTTCAGTGCAAACAGTCTCCTAAAAACACCCTTTACATTCTTAATATCTGAAAACACATGCGTGTAAGTGCTAGCTCAATACATCAGTAAGGAGACCGCCCAAGACCTGGAAGAAATGATCCTCAACTTTTTCAGATTCTTTATTCTAAGTAACCTTAAATTAACCATTTCCTTTCCCAGACCTCAGTTTCCTTGCGACTTCATAAAATTATTTCTAACATAAACGTGAAAAGAATGATATTAGTATTCCCCTAAAATCTTCATATTTATCATTGAGAACTCCCTAGACTATCGTAAGTAACAACATTTCTGTAGAGAGCTGCCTGATAGCCTTCAAAGGAAACGGCATTTTAGAATACTGGGCCATCGGGAAGCCCTGGCTGTTGTGGCTACACTGTGACGGCCCCCACAGGCTCTCTCACAGTAAGTACTTACCACCTGTAATCCTCTGCGTTTAGGAGGAAGTACGTGCACACGATGGTCACGCAGACCGTCACAATACACAGGATGACCAGCACCAGCATCATGAAGCCGTAGACATAGTAGATCTTATACGCCCAGAAAGACGTGAATATGAAATACCTAGGGAAAACACAAGACGTGGCTTCCAGCCTCCACCCTGAAGCCCACTCTGCTCCCGCTCAGTCTCACTTCTGTCTACCCTACACTTGGTATTTTTCTTTCAAGTCATTTCCAATAGTTTCTCCCTTACCCTTTCTCATCTATAAAATCTCTCAAAAATAGTTCCTTGGATAATCTTTCAAGAAGATTGTTCAGTAAGGGCATTCATCTCCATAGTTAAAAATCCAGGCTTGCAAAATATAGTCAGTTCCCTCATTCTTTTTTTTTTTTTTGGAGAGATTTTTGCTATAGGGCGTGTGCGCTCACCAGACAGACATAGAGACAGAAAGGGAGAAATCACCCCCCAGGGGGGATGGTCACGCCGCAATCCCTTCTCCTCCATTCTCCTCTCGGGATCTTGGGCACACACGCACACGCGCCCAGCGTGAGTTTTAAGCCACCGGGTCCGGGACACAAACCGCGGTCGACTACGTGGGAGTCCAGCAACATAGCCATTACGCGAACTGCTGGTTCCCCCTCATTCTTAACAATTACTGTAGCTATGACACTATCCAAGCAATGTATTACCCCATTAAATACTAAAAACAAGCTTGATACATCATCTGATAGTATGAAATTAGGAAAGAAAAGTAATTAGGAAAAGAAAGTCTAAAGAAGATTCACACTGTTCTCAGAGGGTAGTGAAGGAAAATGCATCAAGATTTTTGATGGTGACCAGCAGTTGGCTTAAACTCATGCAGGGTGCGTGTGTGTGCGTGCGTGCCCAAGATCCTGAGGGGAATGGAGAAGAAGGGATTGTGGCGTGGCCATCCCCCCTGGGGGGTGATTTCTCACTTCCTGTCTCTCTGTCTGTGTCTTTCTGGCAAGTTCATGCATCCTATAGCAAAAACCTCTCCAAAAAAAAACTAAAAAGACATACATTCTGTTGTTTTAAAACACAATGTTGTGTATGGATATTTCGATAATCCCCTTCAAAAAAACCAACTCCTCAGGACCAGCAGTTAGCGTAATGGCTATGTCGCTGCATTCCCATGTAGTCGACCGCAGTTCATGTCCCGGACCTGGTGGCTTAAAACTCACGCCGGGCGCGTGTGTGTGCGTGCCCAAGATCCCGAGAGAATGGAGAAGGGATTGCGGCATGGCCATGCCCCCTGGGGGGTGATTTCTCGCTTTCTGTCTCTCTGTCTCTGTCTGTCTGGCGAGCGCACGCGCCCTATAGCAGAAACCTCTCAAAAAAACAAACAAACAAACAAACAAACAAACAAAAAACCAACTCCTTCCATCCCCAAACCCACTCAGGCCCATGAAGGAGACTTCCACTATACTGGAGAGAATCAGCAGGGGGGATCTGTCACAATGGTGGGCATTCAGTGGGCAGGGACCAGGGACAGAAGACGGTGGTATTTGCAAAGTCCCTTACAAACAACTGCCTTGGCTTAAATGACCAGAAGACTTTCATCAAGGCGCACTGGGACACAGGCTGAGAAGAAAGGCTTATGTTTGCAATGGTGAGGAAGGAAGCACAGCGAGCAGGCACGGGCATGGCGCCCCACAGCTCCCCTCCCAGGCTCTCCCACACTCCCCGGGACCCTGCACGCTCCGTGGAAGGGGCCTCGGAGTGACTGCATCACAACATCCTTGGGCTCTTAAAAACAGTCAGAAATACAGTAAAACCCAGTAATTCCTTACATCGTGCATGTGATCAAAAGCTGACCTGCCGTCTCGGGCAAGCTTCAATGGCTACGATCTCCTGTTAGGTGGGAGGTCCAGAACAGATACATAAGGTGCACACACTTCACCTGAGCACCTGGGAGCATCAGACAGCTACCTTTAGAGAGCCTGACAGAGCCACCGAGGACACCATGGGATTAGCAGGTTAATTCCGTTTGATGCCTTTTCATGTAACGATTCTCTACCCCTCCCAACTCCTAAATTCTCTCATTTAGAACCAAATCCTTCAAATCATAGGTTCATCACCGAAACTTACATTTCAATAAAGATTGAGCCAAAAGGTAAAATTCCTCCCAGGCAGACAATAACGGCAGGCTCCATAAACCTGGAAAATATTAACATTCACGGTAAACTCCTAAGATACTTTTCATATTATATTACATAAATTCTGTTACAAAGTAGAAGTTTGTAATTAAAAAAATATCTTTAAAGGATAAAAACAAACTGGTATAAAGAAAAAACAAACCCAAAGAAGCACAATACATAAGTTACTTCAAATCAGGCATAGGCCACAATCATCCTTTCTCTAGCATTAAAAACTAAGATAAGTATCGGGGAACCTCGGCTACTGTGCCAAGCAAAACCCAAGACAGACTCTGAGTGTCTACTCCTGTTTGATTGCTTTCCGGTAACTTCTAATAGCTGTATAGAGATGTATTTACAGCACACCGAAGGGAAAGAAGTAAGAGCCTCGACCCCCACCTGAAATGTTCCCGAAATCAGGGCCCTGCCACCTCTTCGCTCTCCCTCCTTGGTTCTGGTAATTGCTTCTCCTATGATCTACACAATTTAGCTATTATGTGTTACTTATAATGGGGTCAAAAAAAGAATAAAAGATAAAATTCCAACTTTGTTCACTCAATAAACACGTACTGATGGCAGTGGGTAATCCCCACCTGGAGGCCTTCCCTCGTCTCCCATTTCTCTTCCTGCAAGCACTGGCTCAGAAGTTCTCTCCTTAAAGCCTTCCCTGGAACCCCCAGGAAGGGCCTCCTCCCCCTATTCCCCACCGCCTCTTGAAAGTGGATTCACTGCAGTACTTCGCACTGCAACTGCCCAAGTGCACGTTTTAGACCCACAGCCATGTCCGAGTCTACCTATCTGTATCTGTGTCTATATCCCTGCCTCACCAGCCATAAGCTACTCATCTAAATATTTCCAGTGCCTAGCATAGTATCTGGTATAGAAAGAATACTGAAGTAGTTATCTGTGGAAAGAACAAGCCAAAAAAAACTGAGAAGAAAAAACAATTTGAGTCCTAAGAAAATAACTTAAAAATCATTCAATTTAGTCTTTTCTCCTTGTTTTACAAGAAGCCAAGACCCACAGAAATTAAAAATAATCTTCGCAGGAACATAAGTAAATCAAGAGACAGATCCACATTCGGACTGTTTCCCATGTGATTGCATACCCTAAGTGGAGCGATACACGAGCCTCTGTCACCGAACGTGACCCGTCTCCCATAAGGAAGCTCATACGCTGTTCACTCCTCCCAACGAGCCCTAGTTACCTAGAGAAACTTTTGCTATTTCTGACTCTGCTTTTCCTTTAACCTTACCCTCCCCAGTAATGAGGAGAACAGTGTATCAATAGGTCCCAATACTCTAATATTGATTTAGAAAAAAAAGGAGACTTAAGAAAACATTAACTGGGGCCAACAAGTAGAGTGGTAGTTAAGGTGCTGGACTTCCACATGACCAACCGTGGTCAGAGTCCTGGGCCTGACAGCCTGAAAATCACTCCAGGCGCGTGCATGCATGCCCAAAATCCAAGAGAAGAGTGGGAGAGAACGGATTGCAGCAAGGCCATCCCCCTGAGGGGTGTTTTATCACTTTTCCTCTCTCGTATCTGTCTCCCTTTCTCCAGTAAGTGCATGCACCCTATAGCAAAAAAGAAAAAAAATCTTAAAAAAAAAACAAAACCCACTAACTAAAAATATTCTAGCCAATCTCTTGTAAGTACCAATCTAAGGAAAGAAAAAGGAAAACAGCTAAATCCTAAGATTAGAACAGGCCACAAACCCCACTAAACTACCGGGATAGTTTACTATTCAGCCTCCATTTCCATAAATGTCTACACGCCTCCTTGCCTACGAAAGACTGAAAATGATCATCTGTCTGTGTAAGTACCTACATGCCTGTATCTGTACTGAAGACGTGCACCTGGAGACAGGGCGTCTCTCTCTCTCTCTCTCTCTCTATATATATATATGTATATGTGTGTGTATTTAGTATGCTCCATACTCGTAAGGAATAAGTGAGTATGTACAGGACATCTCTCTCTCTCTCTCTCTCTCTCTCTATATATATATATATATGTATATGTGTGCGTATTTAGTATGCTCCATACTCGTAAGGAATATACGAGTATGTACAGGACGTCTCTCTCTCTCTCTCTATATATATATATGTATGTATGTATGTATATGTGTGTGTGTTTATGTATTTAGTATGCTCCATACTCGTAAGGAATATACGAGTATGTACAGGACGTCTCTCTCTCTATATATATATATATATGTATGTATGTATGTATGTATGTATATGTGTGTGTGTGTATGTATTTAGTATGCTCCGTACTCGTAAGGAATATACGAGTATGTACAGGACGTCTCTCTCTCTCTCTCTATATATATATATGTATGTATGTATGTATATGTGTGTGTGTTTATGTATTTAGTATGCTCCATACTCGTAAGGAATATACGAGTATGTACAGGACGTCTCTCTCTCTCTCTCTCTATATATATATATATGTATGTA